TGAGGCTTGTCTGGATTTTTAAGGTGCTGAACCGCTCTCTACAGCTACCTGAAAGGAGACTGTAGCAGTGAGTGTTGGTCTCTTCTCCCGAGTAACAGGTGATAGGACAAGAGGAAACGACCTCAAGATGCACCAGGGGATTTTTAGGGTGGATATTAGGAAAATTTCCTTCACAGAAAGGGTTGCCAAGCATTGGAATAGGATGCCCAGGGAAGTGGTGGAGTCACCATCCCTGGAGGTATTTCGAAGACCTGTAGATGTGGTGCCAAGGGACATGGTAGTGGTGCTTTTGTCAGTGTTAGGTTAGTGGTTGGACTTGCTAATCTTAGGTAAAGGTCTTCTCCAATCCAAATGATTCTGTGATTCTATAATTCAGTTTCCTTTTTTTTTTTTTTTTATTGGTGTTGGTCCAAAGTTCTAGGGGTGGCAGGTGGAGGTCAGGGTACCACGTCCGTGGAGCAGATAGGTGTGTGATGGTGTTGCAAGTCTGGATTTAAACCTGGCGCGGTCTCACTGATATTTGCCTAGAGGAAGCAATTTCTGGGATAAACTATCCCCAGAACAGCTCCTGAGTTTGTCTTGGCAACACGGAGCTGGGCAGCCAGCTAACAATAAAATATGGTTTGTTCCCTCACTCTGTTTTATTTACTAGTGGACTTATTCCCTTCAAGGTTTATTACCAGGCAGTTTGCTGGGGTGAAAAGATGGGGAGGGTCAACAGCAGGGAGAGGGCAGCAAGGTCTGGTGGAAGGGATTGTTTGGCTGAGATGATGTCCCCTCCTTCTCCTTCCTCTCTTGTCCCTCCTCAGTGCACTGTAAGCTTCATCAGACAATGAACATCTCACGCTGTCACAGGCAGTTATCACGTGATGAGGGTGCAACTATTTTTCTTGTGAAGGAAAGGAATTTTTTTGGTGCAAAACTGAGCACAGAAACAACAACAAAAAGAAAAGCTGATATGTGCGTTTCCAGGAGTGCAATGAGGTGGATTATGAGGCAGCAGCTCCATGTCAAGCTGCACGTTTCCTTAATGTCTGAGGTCTCCCATTGCAGTTGGCCAAAGCGCATGAAAAGACACTTTGCTTTGGTGGAGCATTTACTTAAAAGCTTCCCTTTTGCATTTGCTGCAGCCACCTGTAGCTTTTATGGAATCATAGAATGATTTGGGTTGGAAGGGACCTTGAAGATCATCAAGTTCCAACACCCTGCCATGGGCAGGGACACCTCCCACCAGACCAGGTTGCTCAAAGCTCCATCCAGCCTGGTCTTGAACCCCTCCAGGGATGGGGCAGCCACAGCTTCTCTGGGCAACCTGTTCCAGTTCCTCACTGCCCTGACAGGAAAGAATTTCTTCCTGATATCTGATCTAAATATTCCCTTCTTTCAGTTTAAAACCATTACCCCTTGTCCTATCACTTCACTCCCTGATAAAGAGTCTCTCCTCATCAGAAGAATTAAGAAACAGTAGGAAAATACCAGAAATGCCAGTGTCAGCTCTGATGCTTTAGCAATTGCAATAAATACAACAGGTCATCACTCTTTGCTAGGTGAAGTTTGAGCCGATAGCAGATGAAGATGGGTTGTCCTGTCTCCTGCCAAAGGGGAAAGCAAAATGGGGAAAGGAAATGAAAACTGTAAAAATGCTTTTGGAAACATCAAGGACCCACAGTGTAAGTCAAAGTCACCTTTTCCCAGTTGTGGCCTTGAACTCTACTGGAGTTGGGGCGTGCGAAGAATTTACTGGGTATCGGCAACCTCCTAGTCCTTCTTGGGGGAATCGTAGTATTTCAGCGCTCGCTTTATGTAGTCAAAGACGTTTAATTTTTTATTAGACACAGATGTACTTCACATTCGCTTTCTTTCCCAGCCTTGCAATGTCTTCACTTGGCTTGGCAGGACAGATGCGTTTTGGCTTTGCTTTCTGCTGCTGTTTTCAAATTGTTTCGCTCGTCTGCTTGAACTGCTGAATCCTCCCCGAATAGTTACACCTCCGCGTGCTGTGCGGAGGCTTGAAACTGGAGCGGTTAAGATGACCTCCTTGTTACTATTGTCTTGTCTTTTTTAAAAAGAAAGCCAAAATAAAACCAGAACCGGCAGCGTGTTGTAACATGAAATAAAAGTCCAGTGGCAGGAAACTGCAAACCAGATTCAACGCAGTTTTCTCAAATGAGCAATTCTCCAATCATTGCATTTTCAAAGTAATTTTATTTCGAAAATCTGGCCAAAGGTTGCATCTACCTTTGTGTTTCCTTTTATTTATTTACTTATTTATTTGTCATTTAATTTGTACTTGTTTGAGGGCTGGAGGTGATATGCTGCTCTCTGGTAGATATTTATGGACTGATATTTTAAGCCTTCGAGGGGAAGTTCGTCATCTCACAGCCCTTTTTCTTTTGGCTAAAATAAATATAGTGAGGCTTAAAAAGTTAAATAGTTCCATGTCTTTGGAGCGTGATCCTCACACATTGCCCTGCTGTGTTTTTCCTCTTTTCCATGAGGGAAATGCAGTGTAGGGTGAGCAAATCGGTCTCCCCATGGCCGCCCAGGGGAGGTTGGATAAATCTCACCCTCTTAAATTAGCACCTGAATTTCTGGGTGGTTTTTAGCTTTATGGAACAACTTGGGACACAGAGTGTTGCTCAGTGTTTCTTTTTCGTGGTGTTGCAGGGACTCTGAAGTGCAGACGTTCACAGTCTGTGCGGTGAAATTGGTGCATCTCCTGCTTTTTGCAACATTTGACCTATTTCATCTTTGCTTTTGGGGTGGTTTTTGGCATTTTAAATGACTCCCCAGAAGTACTTGCTGGATGCTGTCGATCTTCAGGAGTGTCCCCAGGTGGCAATGCATTGAAGTTTGCAATCCATATTATTTGGGGTGGTGGTGGTGGTAATTAAATGCTGTTCCTTGCTGGGTGTTTGTAATTGAGGACTTGAAGGAACTTCCAGCCCTGGTTCGATCGCATCATGGTCCATCTGAGGTTTCATTCAGCAAAGTACACAAGTGCATATGGACTCAGCATCACTGGGCCAGGCTAAAAATCTGTTGAAGCAAATTCAGTTTGTCCCAAAACGTGCAGATCAGTCCTCTGGGCATATGGAGTTAGAAATTTAGCCAAACTGAAACCATGTCCTGGCTACCCGTCCTGTATTATTAACCCAGAGCGTGTCAGCACTCTGAAAATCCAAGAAATACCTCCCAAAACTGGGTTCAGCGCAGTCTCTAAAGATCTAAAAAATCTCATCCTGTGCTACTCTTCTGTCAGAGATTAAATGAAAGCTGAATCTTGTTACTAACAAATTAAATTCCTGGGGGGCAGGTAAGCCCGAGCTAATTTCTTGTGTTTTACAGCTTCATATATGAAGCAAAGGAGTGTCTGGGACAGCTGATTTAGGAGGAAGTGAAGGACAAGAAGGGTGGGAAAATCTCTAGCAAAGAGCCCCTGTGCATTTGGATGAAATGCCATTTAATGCCCCGGATTTGTGTCACCCTGACAGACTGATGGAGGACTTTATTTACGGGCTGGTAGAGGGCTGAACGGTCTCACGTGAGCGCTGCCGCGGGTGAGATGCGTGAGGGACAGTGGAAAATTCCCTGATTGTGCTGTTTGGGTGTGGAGCTTGTCCTCAGGGACCGGGGGATGCATCCCCAGGACCAACCTGAGCAGTGCATGGGGTGGGTCTTCTCCTTTTGTTCAATATTCATGGTTTTCACCTCGCTCCGTCGATGTCTTTCTGCTCTTCCAAAGGCAGGTTGGGAGCGTGGTGTTTTAACAGGCGAGGGAAATCCTGTCAGGGGATGCAGAATATGTCATAGTTCCAGTCTGTTGGCTTGAAAATATGGATTGTAGCTCCTGTTTGAGTTTCTGTAATGCTTCAGCTGAGAGGAGCAGCTTTCTAATGGCAGTGGCTGTTTGAATGTGCCGTATCGTGCCGGGTGGATGAGCCCTGCAGTGCTTTTGGGCTTGGTTAAAGTTTCAGGTAGAGCAGCTTTTGGGAAACCTGCAAAAGCTGAGCCAGGTGGGAGGCAGAAGAGGGCTAAACCATGGGAAGATCTGCTGTAAAGGTGCTGCTGTAGAGCTGGTGCCAAAGATACGGGCACAAATGAGTGTTTCTCTGGTGACTATTGCCAGTCAAAACCCAAATGCCTGTCTAAAGCTTAAGTGATGTGTCCTTTCTCTGTAATACAGCCCAGTCCAACATTCTCTGGTGATGGTGAAGCTGTGGAGGAGCTCAGCATGGTTTCAGGGGGTTTAAACAGCTAACAAAAAAAACCAACCCAGCCAACCACCACCAAACCCCAAGCCCTCAAACCCTCATTTCAGTGTTCTCCTTGCAGGGCAGATTTGGGGACCTTGGCCAAAGTGGGACCTTGGGAATGAAGCTGAGGGAAGTCTGGGCAGCAGCAATAGCAATTCCTGGCATTGACTCATTGACCCTTGGAGTTGGGCTCTCAGGAAGAAATAGGAAGAAGGGGAGCCTCTCTTGGGGGCTGGAGGGTGATTGTGTGTAGGACCCATTTGGCTCCCATCTCCCTCCTGCCCCAAAAGTTCAGAGCCCACGGAGCAGTTGCTCTCTGCTCACTGCTGCTTCCCCTTTTTTGAAGGCTCTCGTGCCCTCCTGCTCTGGAAAACGATGGTTAACCACGCAGTTGCACTTGCAGTTTCTTGTTCATTCTCTGCTCTGATACTCTCACTCGATAAAAGAGCTGAAATCATTTGTATTCCAATTGCTAAGAATTCCTACAAATGCTGCCTCAGTCCACGTGGGCTGCATCCGCCGTGTTGCAGCAGCATCTTTGCTGTCCTGATGGTGCTGGAGTAGGTTTAGACAAATCCCAGTACAAATTACATGATCAGACACTGTGTAAGGGCTACATCAGACCACCTACTTGGGCTAAATTCCTGCAGCGAGGAGGAACCTGCAGCCCCCTTCAAAGGATGAGCTGGGAGGCCATCGGTGGTCTCCGGTATTAATATATCTCCTTCCTTTTTGTCTCCACAGCCACCCAGATTGATCCCAGCGAGCTACAGGAGCTTTTTCAGGAGACTTCAGCCAACGTCTTCCGAATTAACTCCAATGGTGCGTATAATGAAAGGTTTCCTAGTCACTTGTGTGCTGTCCTGCTGATGACTTGTGTGCCTGGACACGGTGCGTGGCGGCTCCCGTTGTCAGGGAGCAAATATTAATGCAGGTTTTTCTGCTGCTGCATCTCACGAGCACCAGCACATGCCCAATACACAGCTCTTTATAAGATGTAAAAATATTCCACCATATGTTCCATTAAACAGGCACAGATATATTCCAATCCTTGCTGAGACCACATCCTTTTCTATTTTTAATTGTGTCATCTGTTACAATAGGGAGTTTGAGTGCAGAAAGGTGGAACAAGCCAGGCTCGTTTTCTAATGTGTTGCAGCACTGCTGCGTTCAGAGCCTGCCACATGAGCTTGCAAAACATCCATCTCCTTTATAAAAACACTAACACCAAAACTCTTATTTTTCACTCTGTAGACTGAGCAGGGGATGTTGTTCCTACTCGTGTCTCCCCAGACCCCAGGGACGCCGAGTCCTTCCCTCCTTTGGAGACACGCTCTGGCTCATCAGTTTGGTTGGGTTGGGCTGGAGGGATGTAGATATGTCTGTGCTGTAGTCACAGCTCCTGCTGAAGTGGGGTTTATCCCAAGAAACACTTATGAAGAGTGGTGCATCTTTTTTGGAATGCCACAATCCAGTGTCTATTTTTATTCTCTGTTAGAATTGCATTCAATCAGGTTTTGAGCAATTTCTGATGGGCATTGTTTCTCCTCTTGAGATGGCGTAGAGCACTTGATGGTGTGCTTTTGGTTAAGAGATACCTGTGTTGAGTGCCCTGTGAAGCAGGTAATGACAGGGCCTGTACTTAAAACTGTTTTGCAAAATCAGAGAGCGCGCAGAGAAGAGCTACGACGACTGTTTGAAGCCTGCAAATCAGCCTTTCAAATGCATGCTATCCCAAACTTCTCTTCCAGACATCTAAGAGGACTTGATCGTGGTGTGTAAGTACCTCTCTGGGAAGAAAGACATCAAATAGATGGCACGGGGCTCATTAATCTAACATTCTCGCACATAACGAGATCAGGAGATAGGAGTCAAAGCTAGACAAATTCAATCTTTCTGTACGAGGATAACTAGCCATTAGAACTGCTTATTGAGGGGACGTGATGGATTTGGCGTTGCTTCCAACCTTTAAATCAAGATTCGAATGTCTTTTTACAAGATATAGTTTCGGCCAGCTACGGTCTACGGTCTTGATGTAGGAGTGATGGGGCAAAATTTTATGGTAGGAAATCAGATTGGATAATCAGAATTGCTCTCTCTGGCCTTTAAAATCTATGAATCTATGAATTTATAATGCTTTTTAAAGTGCTTTTAGGTTGAAGAAATGCCCATCAGATACTCTGATGTTGTTGCTCTGTTCACCACCCATATTATTTTTCGTCTGTTAGAGTCATTTTCATTCAGTTTGTGTGTGGCTTCTTCATAGCTTTTTTTCCCCAAAAGTGGATATAGCTTTTCAGGAGAGGGATGCTGAGTGTCCTGCTGAGGTTTTGCAGAGCTCGCTCACGTTAGGTAAAGAACTTTGTAGGGCTAGAAAATGGGAAAGGATGCCCGTGATCCTTTCTGCCCTGTACAGCTGGACCATATGGTCTCCTCAGGAGACCCAGCAAGCTCCATCTCGGAGCATGGAACAAAAGTCATTGCTGTTGTTTGCGTACCACCATGCAAGTGGAACTGCAGATGCTCACCAGATGATGGTTTCCACTCCTGTTGCGCTAAGCGTGGTGTGTTGAATGTCCTTCAGGATCACAGAAATCCAACCACAGCTCCCCTTTTCCTTATTTTCATGCCTTACCCGAGCCTCTTTGGGACTTTCCAGGTCCCCCATTGCATTTGGAGTCCAAACCATGCACTTGAAATGTTCTTCTCTCCCTCGGGATGCTAAAGGTCTCATGAGCTCCCCATGCTATGCCTCTGTATTTTGAATTCCCCAAATGCCAGGTTGTGGGCAGTCTCGGCTATATTTTTTCTGTCTTTGGGGAATGATTGTTTTTAATGAAACAAGAAGTCAACTTCGTGCTGGGATTTTAAAGCCTTGTTGATTTTAATTGAGTAACACTAAATAAATGTTGCATACTTTGTCCCTCTTTTCTCTCCTTACCCTTTTTGCAGAAGTCTGAGCTTTTGGGGTGATTTAAATTCCTCTTAGGGCAGTTCAGGACTTGCCTCCTGACTAAGGGGGGACCTTTGCAGCTCTGAGCTGATCTTGCCTGATCTCACATCTAAATGCCTCCTGTTCCCTTTTTCTGCTCTGAAAATGGAAATCTTCCTTACGTATCGACTAAAAATCTTAACCAGGATGGTTGGTTCTGTTTATGTGCTACCAGATCACTCTCCTACCAGGTCGTGAGTTTACAGAACTTGGTTTTTTTAATCCAACCTCTCATGGAAGTTTCCATGGCCAGAGGGAGCTTTTCCCTGTTCTTTGCATCTGCTTTCTTTCTCTCTAATTCTTTGGGGGCCGTCCCTATTGAGCACAGGGAAGTTTATCCGATAGTGATTTGACTTACACGAGTTTTATGGGGTTCTTGTTTAGTTGTCTTTTTCCTTTGGGGAAAAAGAAAAAACAAAGCCAAAAAAACCAACACAAAAATAAGCTCATGTAGTGGCTGAATTTGTCTTATTGGTGACTTTTTTTCCTACTTATTTTTATGAAGGTTTTGCATTTCTTTCCAAGTACGGCTTTTAGCTGCCTCTCAGTAAATGCCTTATAAATAAGTAAAATAAGTGACACTTGTAAAAGGGGTTGGTTTGGTGCATCACGTCTGATCAGTGGAGGATATACTGGAGGAATCAGAACTGTTCTGGCCAGATGGAGGATCTGAGTGCTCTAATGGGTCTCTTCCCTCTCTAATTCCTCTTCCTTGCTCGTTAATGACTCCCTGTGACAGGCTGGTGCCCATGCGCAGTCCCATTACCTTGATCTGAGAGGCTGAGTGAAGGATTTTTCAGCATCCCTCAGGTGTGATAAAGTCTCCATTGCCACCTCAGGATGGTTTCTTATCCCCCGTTGATTTTAAGGATTGCAAGGGCACAGACAACTGGTGCCAAACTCCCCGTTTATGTAAATCAGTGCAGCTCCAAGAGCAGTGATCTCTTCTGAACGTGCCTCATCCTGGAGGACTAAGCGTATATCTTTTAAAAATTAAGTGTACAAGGCTTTTAAAGTAAGATGTCTGTTTTAACACTGGTTTCACAGTGTGTCTTCAGCACAGCTTGACGTGTAGCTCCTTTGGTAGAGTTACTGCTCGCATGGTCAGAACTGGTAAATTGAGAGGGATTTTCCAGCACAGGAGCTACACAGGTTTTGATAGAGCAGTTCTTGGCCAAATCACGTTAGATCTATCCCAAAAATAGCTCAGTCCCCCCCTGAGGTCCAGGAGACTCAAGTATGAGTCTCTGTTCTGCTATTTCCCTGGCAACAGCCATATCAAATACCAACTTTTGGCTGTTCCAGAGTATGTCTCTTGTCCTTTTGGGTTAATTGACCTTTATGTAAGTGTGTAAATATTTTGCTTGAATTAAAAAAAAATATTAGTTAAAATTTTAGGATAGGGACTTAAACCTGAGTCACTTTCTCACCTGACTGACAAGCACTCTGAGTTCCTGTCTCAGATTCTTTTGCGTGTATGGGTGTTTTTCCAAAATATTTAACAAATGTGGAAGCTCTTGGATCCGCCTCGGTGTGAAATGGCATGTGTGTGTGAAGTCTTGAACAGTTTTGTGGAGCAGGAAAACTCCTTCCTACTCCGTTCTTCTCCAAAGCAGGCAGCAGCAAAGCTCTGTGCTGTTTTTGCCGGGAACCGCCTGCGTATCAAGTCTGTCTTCCATCGAGCTCCCCTTCCTTTGTAGGAGGATGCTGACAGAGCAGCTTTCACTTCGAATTGTCCTGATTTTGTAGCTCAGGTTAGAGAGACACTGGCCCAGGTTGCCCAGAGAAGCTGTGGAGGCCCCATCCCTGGAGGTGTTCAAGGCCAGACTGGATGGGGCTTTGAGCAACCTGGTCTGGTGGGACTCGATGATCTTTAAAGTCCCTTCCAACCCAATCCATTTTATGATTCTATGCTGTAGCTACCATTTTCTGGAGGTTTCAGCCTACTAGTTCCCTTCTGGAGTTGCACACATGACATTAACACCTTCTTAGAAGTTCAATGAGCACCAAAAAGCTTTCTCTACCTTGACTTGTTGTCCGTTCTCCAAGGACCACTCTCTGCTCTGTCCCAAAGGGTTGATGGGCCCAGATGTGTTTTTAGGTGATGCAAAATTTTGTCTCTGAAACAGACAGTGTAAAGGTTGTGCAGGAGATCGATTTGTTAGGATTGGGGAGGAGGGAAGAGAGGGAATTATAAATATCAGTGGGATCTCGGCAGGATCGATGCTGTTCTCCCAGAGAAGCAAATCGTTATTAGTGAAAACTCTCAATTTATTCTTTAAAGCATTGTGTGTCCAGCAAAGGATAATAATTATTAGCTAGGTTATAAACAAAATTCCTTGAGGCTTTATCTTACTGAATCACCAAATTCTACACTAAAATCTGTTATTGAGATCTAGCAAGTGGGGTGAAAATATATGGTGATATTCAAGGATTTTTTTGGTTTACCAGGCACATTAGGTACTTTTTATGCTGTTTGATAACTTTTGGTGTCAACCCAGAGAATCCCCAAAAGGAGTGGAAAAATATTAGTGACTTGTTCAAAGTTAGAGGCCAAGTCCAAGTCTGCAGAGTTGTTAAAAAAGAGGATTTCTTAACTTTCTATGGAAATAATTAAGCCATGTTTTTAATCTATTCTTTTTTTCCTTCTTTAAATACTGAAGTGTGACTGATAGCAAGTTAAGAGTTTTTACAGCTGGAAGTGTTCTGAGAAAATCCCACATGTAAATATTAAGGATATCACTTATTTAGCATCTTCCATTGAGGAAGATATTGAAGTACTTTGAGTACTTCATATGCGAAGTCCAAAGGTAGTGGAATTTGATACAGTGAATGTTCAAGGGTGTAAAAAGGTGATAAGACTCCTAGATTTCTGCCACTTTTTTATACACAGATATATATTTCTTAAATTTGAATTCACTGTGTATTGCAAAACAAGCCGTATTTCCCATTTCAAGCTGATCTTAGAGTATTCTCCTCTCCTGATGGAAAAGCCCGAGAAACTCCTTAGCTCAGACACAGGAGATGATCACACCAAAGTACCCTGTTTTGTCTGAGCCAAAACATAGAAAAGATTTTGAGTACTAAAATCTTGACCAGTGAAATAGAAAATATCAGAATGGACAACTGTGTTCTGCCTCTTAATCGTTACTCAGAGCAATTAATAGTTATTATACGATTTCTTGCCTCTTTGTTGAGGGCATGTTTCCAGCTGGAGATGCTCCACGTGTGGTTCTGTGGGGCCTGAAGGCATGGACCTCTTGAGGAGGATAAGCAATGGTTTCCCGCTCCCAGAAGAGCTGGCCCGATCTCCTGGCAGAAAACACAACTGTCTCCAGCCCTGGGAATTTGATGTGGTTGCTGAAAGATGAAGAGTTAGAAAGTTTGGGGCTGGAGGAGTCAGAGGTCTGTGTGAGCTCCATGGGATGGAGGTTTTCTTGCTGTCAGAAGGAGTCATACCCCATTGTGTCATGGCACATGATATGTGGATTCACCCTTTATGCATCCAAGGGACCCCGTTTATCCATTTTGGGGTGATGGTTATTGCTAGATGTTATCCCCTTTGTCTCATGAGTTACTTGTCCAAACACTAAGTCATCGTATTGTTGAAAATTAAATTAAAAGACAAACAAATGAATGAAAATCCATTGTTTTATTTTTTTTTTTCTCTGCAAAAGTGTACTGCTGCTTTATCTTGTCTTACTCTGCTGTTGACAGTGACCTCTCTGGAAAGAAGCCTTCGATCTCTGGGGACCTCAAATGATACTCAAGAGCTGCAGGATGGACTGTGAGTTGGATTTGAATTGCTGCGGATCTCTTTGTCCCAGCCTTTTCTTTTTTTTTTTTTTTTTTTTTTTCTGATCTATCCTCATCCTTTCTTCTGTCCTGTTTTTTATAGCTGGATGCTTTTTTTGTCAGGCTCACTTCGTTTCGTTCCTTTCTGTCGGTGATTAATGATGGTAGGACGTGTATTGATCGTGTAGAGCTTTCCAGGTGCTGATTTCAGGTGGCAGAGAATGGTAGGTAGATAACAGAAAATGATGGCCCACAGTGAAAGAGGGTTTTCTGTGGTTGTGTATGTGTTGTTATTTTTTGTTGTGGGTTGTTTTTTTTTGTTGGGTTGGGGTTTTTTTATGGGTTTAATGTGAAGTTAGAGCACGGCGCTTCTGTAGCTTTTTCTCCCTCCCCTTCCACCTCCCTCCACCCATCCCCCTTTGCCAAAGACTATGAATCCAAGAGGGAAAAAAAAGAGAAAGGGAGAAAAAAGGTATTTTGTAGGTGGAAAAGTGTGTTGTGGTATTGAAATCTGCGTCACGTGGCACAACAGTGAGAAAATGAAACTTTGGTTGCACTTGCAGTAGCGACAGTTCATTAAGCTTTCCCTTCCAGATATGTGTACACACAAACACGCGCAGTTGGTTTTCATTGTGTGCATGCTAATTAGAGAATTAAAATGGCTTTTCCAAATGTAGTGCAATTTATTAAAGCTGCTTCCCTTTCATGCAGCTTGCATGCAGACGTGAAGCGCTTGGGATGCGGCTCTGATTTTAGGACTGCAGCTCCTGCTGAGATTGGGCTGCCAAAAAAGAGGAGATTTTGGTTTCTATTTCTTTGTTCTATTTCTTTATATTGGCTTTATACCCTGTAATTTGCCCGATGGACTTGAGTGACCTTCCCCATGCGATATAAACTCTCAGACTGGTTTGCAGTCTCTCTCTCTCCTCTCTCCAATCCTTTGCTTTCATCAGATCTGCCCTAATTCACATGCGCTCTGTTTTGCAAACTTGGGGATTAAAAATAGTGATAGTAATAATAGCGAGAAGATTCGGAACTAAATTTAGGAGGTTGGAGAGGATGTAAGAGTAAAAAAGTCAGCCTGTGGAGATCGATGTAATCAGGAAAGATGTTTACATGTACAGAATTATTTGTGGCATAAACCACCCCAGTTGCTGCTGGAGATCCTTAACCCAGGAAAGCCTTTCTGTCCCCCACAGCAGCTATTATGTGTGCACTCCTAAACTAGTCTTTTTTTTTTTTATTATTATTTAAGAATCAATTCCTTTACTCTTCAGAGCACTTCAGAAACATGGCTAGATAATTTTCTTCTTTCCTGAGCCGTTACATAAATAGATCCATAATGCACTAATTGCAATAATTATTTTTGATCTCAGAATTATCATTAATTGTCCAGATAGCTAAATGCAGCTTATTTTTGTTTTAACTGTGCTTCCCTGCCCCGGTCAGAATTCCTCTGCCTGTCTCTTTCCCATCCTCCTGGTTCATCCCCTCTCCCCACATTCTAGCAGAAGGTCTCCCCTCATTTCTCCCATTTCCCTCGTTGCATCTCCGGACCGAACAGTTGCAGGGTGCTGAGCACAGGAGGTCCAACAACTGTCATCTCCTCAATGCTCCCATCTTTTCGTCCTCTCCTAACACTGGTGTGTCCTTTGCATTGCCCCTGATTTCATCACCAGACATTTATAGAGCCTTGGATGCACTATAAGTGTCTCTGCCCATCTCTCACGAGAGCTGCACCAGCAAAATTTGATGCCATGAATCACAGGAGCTGGCAGTGCCGCGTATATCTCTGCGTTTGGGAGCAAGCAGAGGGTCAGCTCTTCAGGTGAGACCTTTGGGGCAGTCTTTCCTGCTTCCCCTGGCTGCAAATCAGGGCTTCATCTCCCTCCTTCGCCGCTTGACCCCTTCCCTTCAAAGGTTGATGCATGTTTCTCCTTGAGCATCCTCTATCTTGGAAGGCACGAGTGAACATTTGGTAGGTTTATAGCCTTGGCTATTAGGAAAAAAAAGAGATAGTATCTATCAAAATAGTATCTAAATAGTAAAATTGCCACACTCTCAGCTTTCATACTAACGAGGGGCCTATCACTCTGCCTAAAATGAGGCCGTTAGGCAGGCAAGGGGAGGCAGAATATTTGGGAACAGGGGTTGATGGTGAGTGGTGGCCCTGCCACATAGGACATTTAGCTACCAGAGTCTGTATACTGCAAAAATATTTCCTTTCCTAGCTGCAGGGTCCTGCTAAAACAGAAAAAAAACCCCCCAAAACAACAAGTTTTCCTTTTCAAATTCATGCATATTTTTTGCCTCTTATGCCCAGGACTTCAAGGGATTTGGATGAGGGCAGGCTTCTAACTGTCAATTGGGCTACTCCCTTTTCTGAAATGGTGTTTCTCCCTTCAAAAGTGGGGTCATTTAGAATAAGGACTCTACCTGTGGCAAGTGAATTTGGAAGAGTTCATCCCAAATGGAGTGCCAGCTTTAGTCAGGGAGACAGATTTGACTGTGGGTCTGTGAGTAGGGTATATATGAGACCCAACAGTGTAGAATCTTGGTCAAAGATCTTCCCAGAGCCAGCACAGATACTTGTGTGCTATGAGCTTGGAGCTGAAAGTCCTGAGAAATGAAACATAAACACCCGTAAGAAGCTCTAGATGGAGTTTGCTGAATGCAACTGACCCTGGATTAATTGGGAAGGGAATGGGAACAGGAAGAAAGGTGGATGGAGCTGGGGCGAGGAGCTAGGGCCAGTAGGCGACGCTGACAGCGTTCTCCGGTGATGCTTGGCTGCAAACAGCTTCTTAAGTACCAATATCTTACAAGAAAAATTGACTGTTTTCTTTTTTTTTTCTTGACCTTTTGTTTAATAATCCAAACTCCCAAGGAATTTATCTGCCTCCTTAGCCAGAGGATTTGGGATGAGGGGTTTCTCCAGCTTTAGTCACTGAAGGTAACTAGCTTTTAATTTAGGCAAATAAACTTAAATGCCCAGATAAATCACTGTCTCTAAGAAGCAGTGAAAACCAGACTCTAATCTTGTGAGTGGGTATGTCTGGTTTGTCTCCCAACATCCTGAAAAAAGGGGCTGGAAATGAAAGCATTCCTGTATCCTGGGAAATGCTCTGAGGGGTATGATACGCTCCCCCCATATCAGTCCTGCCCATATTTGTTGATTACTGACCCACCACATCAGGGATGAAGGATGCCTTTGCCCAGCTGAACACACAGTCTTGGCTCCAGAGTCATTCCCTTTTAATTGGTACCATGAAGATAAAGGTTCCCTGTGTACCATCGGATATATATTTTTTTTTTTATGAGAACAAAATTTCATAAGCAAAAATGTAAAGCTAGTAGGTTTTTTTAGGAAAAACAAAAAAAAAACGTTTTCCATTTTTCATTTTTTCACAACCTGACTCAGTCTTACTGTGACCTCAAGAAAAAAAAAAGGTGGTTGGTCAGGTTGCAAGTGGCAAAGTCATGAGACTGAGCACTTAGAGGCATGAAAGGTCCTCGATGCCCTTTCTGTGGAGACTGGTTGACCATTGCAGTGATCTGTGCTCTCCAAACCAGGCTTCCTCCATTGCTCACCTCCTAGAGGAGTGTATCTCCTCAGTGGACATTTGGCCATAGCTCATTGCAGGTCCAAGGTCAAGAACAACATTGCATTGGGTCACAGTCGTGTCTTACTACCATTTTTAAAGTGGGTCTGGGATGTAGCCCAGGAGTCTTCATTCTGTGGCATTTTTGGATCCTTTACCAGTCACTAGCAGGAGAATTTGTCTATTTAGGGAGGAGTTATGAGAAGGATATTTTTGGGGCTTTTAGCACTGATGAGATTTTTGAGTGTCCATACTGTGAAATGCTTTGATTTCTCCTGATTTGAGGCAAAGCTCAAATTTTGGCTTCCACCTCCCTTCTCTCATCGACATTATTTTTTACAAAAATGTGCACATTATAGAAATATGTAGGGAGGTTTTTTTCCTGCAGCTGAGGGAGGGCTCAGCTCTACATCTGTACAGTGTGTGAAAATAAATCTCCTTTTCTGATAGAAGTGATATGGCAATAGTCAGTGCTCTCTATTGTAACACCCCTCCATCCCCTTGGAAAAATCATAGAATCATAGGATGGTTTGGGTTGGAAGGGACCTTAAAGCTCATCTAGTTCCAACCCCCCTGCCATGGGCAGGGACATCTTCCACTAGACCAGCTATCTAGAAGATCACCACCAGAGAACCCAGAAGGACACAGATCCTCTTGTCTTTGAATCTATTTAAGATGGTCCACATCCTGAGTGTCACATCTGAGCAGTATTAGTGAATATATATGTGAGAGATATACATATATGAAGAGATCACTGTCTGCAAAACACTGAGGAAGCGCAGGCTTCTTGATGTATAATACTTTAATGGTTTTATTAGGGCTGTGCAGCAGAACTGATGACATTGCAGGACTGAAAAGAAGTTTCAAAGGATTTTTGAAATGGAAAGCTCAGTTTTAGATCTGAGCTGCTTTGGGGTGAGAAAAAGGCAATGGTTCTGGAAAAGGCTAAAAGTGCAGGTTTTGTATTGCTGCTCGTACCTGCCTGTTGGCCAAACCTGACAGGGCACCCGTTTTCCTTGGGTGTACAAATTGTGCCAAAATGCCTAGATGGTTTGCCACATTCTTGGCTGGGAGCTCCATCTTCCTCACCTTTCCCCAGGTGATGTGCCACATCACCAGACAATTTTTTTGGGGATGAGTAAAATCCCTTCCTCAGGATTATTTTGCCATCACACAACCCTGAAATCAAGCCATACCTGTGGCGAAGCACCGCCAATGCGACGTGCCTTATTTGGGGTGCTCTCAGGAGGATCACCATCCCTGTCCACCATCTCTGAACATCAAAAGTCAACTGAAGAATGGCAACAAGCACTTCAGTCCACTCAGGCTCAGTCCGAAGTGGTTTGCTGGATTTCTGGAAGCACTTTTGAAACACTTTGGCCTCCAGGAC